GTCTCTATCTTTCTTTATGGCTGCATAGTATTCCATGGTGTACATATACCACAGTTTGTTGATCCATTCGTGGATCAATGGGCACTTGGGCTTCTTCCATGAACAGTTCAAACATTTGAGAAAACAATCCCTCATGAGTAAGGACCACCTGACACGATCAACAACAGGATTAGATGCTTAAGCATTTCAGATGATTATATGATAAAAACTATAGCTACTGGTTTTCCTGTAAGTCCACCATGACAATGGCTGGACCTCAATTTTAAATTCTTTTAGGTTTGTACTCTCTTGTAATCATGCTCCCTGCTCACCCTGGTCACTCTTCCTTTCATACAATCTCTGCTTATTGAATTTTTTCCTGCCCCTTAATAGGAGCATTTCTCAACCTATGGGTCATGACCCACAGGAACTGGATTAAAGGGCCGCGGCATCAGGAAGGTTGAGAACCATTGCTTTATGGCTTTCATATTTTCCCTAACACAGAAATATGCCTGCCTCCTTCCATTCCTGCCAACACTTTAGAAAGCTATGACTAACCACCTCAGCAATGGGATCAACACCAATACTGTCTTTAGACTGTTATCAGGAAAAGTGACCTACTAAAAATCTATGTCAGAATCCATTAAAGTTATAAAGACAGATGTTTCTGTCTTGACCACTATACTAATAAAAATCACTTGGGATATTAGTATCATGTTATCATATGTTAATTGATTTAATATATATACACTTTGCTTTTATCTTTTTTTTTTTTTTTTTACACTTTGCTTTTATTTTCAGAGCTATTCTCTAAGGTAGAGAATATTACTTCTCCTTTATAGAAAGGAAAAATGAGGCCCAGAGACATCTGAGGTACCCTGGAAAGTTCATTCTAGATCTAGAAACAAATTCTTTTTAGGTCTTTTTACTGTCCCTAACTACCTTCCTAAAGTACTCAGTACATCAAGCTTCAGCAAAGACATCCCTCCTCTAGGACTGGTCCTACTTAAACCGGCTTCCCTAGAAGACTTACCTGCCATTCATCAGGAGTAGAACAGAACGGTTGTTGACTTGATTGTCATTTTGGTGCCTTTTCTACAATCACACAAGAAAATGTTCAGGAAGCAGATCTATAGCAAACTGCATGTAGAAGGTTAATGTTTTCAAATATCACCTAATGTAGCTCCCCCTTTTTCTCCTTCCCTAAAGACCTTCTACCATTAACCCTCCCACTAATCCAGGGAGAAGAACCAGACAAAATCTTGATTTTAAATATCAAAACCTAAAATCCTAGGGGAACGAGAACAAACAACTTATGTCAAATGGTTCAGAGGCCAGAATATTAGTACAAAATGATGGGCAGGTCTATAGAGTTTCACATACCTTAACAGGTGCAGGGAAAGTTAGGGATTCTCAAGCATGCTCCCCCCTCTACTGCCAGCCGTAGTCGACATGCAGAAGCTACTACAGTGGGTGCACTAAGGAAAGAGGCCAGCACAAAGACCAAAGAGAAGGGGAACAAATATAGGGCATGTTCTGATGTCAGAATTCATAGGAATCTCCTCCTTCTAATTGAGATTACTCCATGGGAAAAGGGTAGGACTGAGAGGGTTCAAAGAGAATCTAAAATGTGTCAGAATTCAGAATTTTCCAAATATTTCTCCTAACGAGACTGAGTTCTAAACCCCAAGTAATGAGGTTATCTTGAATTGGCAAGTTAATTTTCAGATCGCATTAAAAAAGTTGGGGTCAGAGGTGTATGTGTGGTTATTAGGTAAATAAGGTCAGTAACAGAGAAATTTAGTTTTGCACATCTGAGTTCTGACTGAAATTTAAGGTAGGACATGTGTTTAAAGAGTAAGAAAGTGCTAGAGAAACATCCGTGCTCTCAAACTTTGCTCTAAAAATCTATCCTGACAAAGTGAGAAGGGAAACTGTGGGGCAGGTCAGCATAACTGGCTTCCCACATCTTACTAATAGGCATGGCAGTGGGTCCTCGCCCTCACCATCTTTGCTGGGTCTGTTGTAAGAAGCAAAGAGGAAGCCTAGCAGCACTCAGTTTGACTCAGGAAGGGAGCTGGCCTCAGCTTATGTCGTGAGGCTTTTAAAATCAGAGTTCCTGACTGCTGTATATACTTAATAGAATTTAGAGTTGTAAAAGGACACAGAGAGAGTTGGAGAGGAGAAAGGAAATTCAGAGAGAGAAGAAAGAGAAAGAATGGGAGAAAAAGGGAGCACGGACAGAGGAAAGAAAGGAAAAGGAATATAAACTGGAAGAAGGTGAGCAGAGAAAGAAGGATAGAGCAAAGCCAGAGAAAGCTAAGAGGGGAGTAAAGGAACAGTGGGCTATTAAAGATGGAAGGAGGCCTGGAAAGGGAAAGGTGGCTAAACAGAGTGGCAGTAGGAAGACAGAAAAGGGCCTTGCCTTGCCCCTTCCGGCTATGCATAGACCACAATCTTGGGCCTATGGGAACTACATATTCATCTGGGATGAGTAAGGAAATAAGGAAGAGAAATATCTCTTTCTGTTTAGTGCCTCTTCTTAGCACTAGATAGTGTTAGGAAGTCCTTCTTGCCCTGACTAGGTACAGTGAGGGACTAGAGACCCAGGAAGCCACTTCACCAGGTCATCGATGGCATCTTTCACTGCTGTTACGGACAGCACCACTACCAGGGGTATCACAGTTGTATACCAGGCCAAGGAGGAGATCTGGGGAATCAACTGAGAGAAGGAAAAGGAGAGAATAATGAGTCAGAAAAGTCAAAGAAAAATATATTTCCTCCCAATCCCTTACCCCCACCACCATTTTCATCTCCACAGGTTCATAGGCAACCCAACTATCCTAGTTACTTCCTGCTGTTGTAGACTTCATAGAACACTCAAAACATAAGTAAACATTTCCCAAGGAATGCTAAAAAAAAAAAAAAAAGGCTATTAAATTGCTCCCTATCTGTTTTGAACTCCATTACCTTCCTCTGGATGGCAAAGGGCCATTTCTTCCCCAATAATGAAAGGTAATGGGGTAGGGGAATAAGAGCAGACGAGAAAACCATGTGCTGTCCACCCCCTTCAGCCCAAGCAGAAGTGAGACAATCTGTCCCTATCTCCCAATTTGGGCCTATCCTAGTCTGCTTCCTTTCTTTGTACTGGCACTCTTATATTCTAAATCATGCTCCTTCCTCAGCACTCCCATGTGCTTATTTTCTGTCACCGAGTCTGGGACAAGAAAAATAGGGTTGCATTTGGGGTTAGGGTGAAGAATCTATGGTCCCCTATGGTTAAGCTGAACTGTGTGAACTGTGGCCATGCAGCCATGATAAGGAGCTCCTCATTCCTTGGGATTTGGTGAGCTTATCTCCTTTTTCTGGTAGAGGCTTGTTTCATATGGGCTAACAAATACTCTAAGGGACTAGCCTGAGACACCAGCCATCCATTTGCTTGTTTTCTAAACAGAGGAGACTTCTGTTTAGGGAATGCAAAAACTAACTATAGAGCCTGACCCCATAGTGGTTGATAAAACACTCTGTAGTAAAGATGAGAGAAAAACATAATTTAATTCAAGTTGAGGGGCTGGGGAAGTAAAGAGGGAGGAGGAGGGGGAAGGAGAGGGATTAGCAAGCTCTCATCTAATAGGCACAATGTAGGGATATATGGCATACCTCCTGGGTAAAGGGCTCAACTACAACTTGGACTTTACCTAACAAACACAAATAATGTAACCTAATCATCTGTATCCTCACATTAAACTGAAATTAAAAAAAAGAAAAGGGCCCCAAAGGCAATACCTGTAGGAATAGTAAAATGAGGAAATATGCATTTGCAAGTCTCTGGAATTGTTCAAATAGGTTCAAGGGCAGGAAGTTAACGACACTATATTTTGAGGTCTTTATGGTATTGTTCTGTGAGTAAAAAAAACCACACACAATTAGAGGAACAAAAGACAGTTCAAAACTGGGTTGATAGGTAGCTACCCTCACCTACCTCCAAGTCTTAACTAAAAAGACCAAGACTACTCCATGAAATGGGAAAAAGCCACCAAAGTTCCCCCCACCACAGGGAGGGAAAGAGGAAAGACGTGTCTAATTTCCCCCCTTTCCTTGAGAACCAGAGAGGCCTAGGGATGGCAAGGCTGCTCCACATGGTAGTTTCTCTGGGGCCAGAATGCATCTCTGCCCCGATAGAGTTCTTTCTTTATTGATGCTATTAATAATAATAATAATAAGCAAATCAGAAATAAAAATAAAAATTTACATTTACTGAGTACTTACAATATGCAAGGCACTATTCTAAGCATTTTATATGGAGCAACCCACTTAATCCTCACAATAATTCTGTGAGGTGAATACTACATAATCACATTTGAGGATGAGGAAATGGAGGCACTGAATCCAGTGGTCTCTGCTGAAGCTTATCTTAGCCTGGCAAACTTAGTTTGGTGTGTCTTTACATGTTACTTTCAGTGTTGAAGGATGTCAGATGCTAAAAGCAAAGAATTGTCTTTCAACCCTTGCTAACTAAAGGTTTCTATACTGGTCACTGCCAGCATTAGAGAATGATTTGGCCCCTGATTATCCTAGGAAGATTTGAATAGCTTTGGCCTATTAGCTGGCTAAGCTAAAATTCTGCTGAATGAAATTGGGAATTTGTCAATCTTCTTAATCCTGATCTCAAGATATTGATGAGACTATCTTACTTTCTACCTTTGGGTCTTAATCATATATCCTAAGATGTCAGAGCTTCAATCTAAGAGCTCAAGAAAAGTAGGAGAATAAGATCAAATAATTCTCTAAGAACAGGGCTTCTCTCCTATCTCCTCCATTCATAAGGCCAAACAAAAGAATAAACCGACCTGCAGGCCTGGAATACAGATACAGCTCAAGTGTGAAGAATCTTACTGGGTCCTGCTTTGGAAGGACATCAAAATCCTTCTCTTGGAGAATTAAAACTATTCAGTCCTAAGGCTGAAACTGTAATCTTGGGTCTGTAACCAGGAACTTAGAGAGGTTACTTAGCTGAGCCTTGCCCAAGCTCTATCTCCCCAGAAGAGAGAAGCTGGTCAAATAGCTTATTACTTAAGAATTTGGAGATCCGATCCAAGGTAAACATAAGATTTCCTTGGTGTTTGCCAAAATTTTCCAATTAATAATTAATAAAACACTGCACCATTTCTCAAAGTGTGGTCTGTTCATAGCCCTATTCTGGGCTATACTAGTGGAGGCTGAAAAAGAATTAGACAGGATCTATCCTGGAGTAGCTCATAGGTCTGTCTTTAATGAAGTTCTAATGAAATGATGTGTAAGGGCCCTTCTAGTCTTGAGACCATATTATTCTAGCACAGAAATAGTTTTCTTTGATCATAAGATACTCTGATTTTCTCAGTGTCTAAGTCTACATGGCTCTGATAGCTCTAGATCAAAAGATCTCCTGAAAGGTGGCCTCACTGAAGTAACTGGCCTTCACTGTTGAGTCTCCATCTGATTACATAGTCATTTAATGAGTATTTTAGGTTTTTACTTATTTTTACTTACCTGGATAGTATTTGTTTAGCAAACCAAACCAAAAGCTATGCTGATTCTGCCTTAAGATAGAAGTACCAGTATTTCTTTACTAACTTGGCAACTAGATTGTTTTGTTCTACTCTGAAATATGAAACCAGAAGCAGTATCTTAGGAATGCAGAACATCTCCTTAACTATGAGCTTGATCAGTATTTAATTCTTCTGGCAGAGATGATAAAATGTAAGCATAATAGAGGTGGTAGATTTTGATTTGATTATTTATTTATTTGTTTGGGCTCTGATATAGGACTGAATGCTAAATGGGGTAACAGAAGAAAACAGAAGGCCAAGGATATAATGGGAATCAGAAGTTAGGAAGAGGGAAAGGAGTCAGAGTGGGAAAATTAGAGGATTAGGAGGAACACACGTGATGCACAGGGCCAGGGAAATGAAATGTTGCTAAATGTGTAACAATTAGTCAAATATGTTTATTTATTCATTAAATATTCAGCATACATTTACTGAATGCCAGGTATGTACCAAACATTATGATAGGAACAATGGGTGTAGCAATGAATGAGACAGATGCCCTTTTTCCAAAGGATAATAGTTTCTTGGAAAAAGATAACTAAAATTTTCATACCATATTTAATTGCCACAACCACCATGCAAGGTGACCATTATTCCATTTTAAAAATGAAAAACTGAAGATAAGAGAATTTAAACAACTTGCCGAAAGCTTCAATGCTAATAAGGGGAAGAGCTGTGTTCAAATTCAGATCTGTCTGATACCAAAACCTAGTTTTACTGTATCCCACTGCTTCTTTTGCAAATATAAAAGAAAGGGGAAATATCTGTTCCCTATTGTCAGACCTTGAGGATTGTTATTATTCAGAACCCCTCGAACACAGCAAAACTAATATCTGACAAAGACTATAAACATATTTGATTATGTACAAGGCCTGACAATTAAGTTCATGAACTTTCCACCAAGTACTTACATTGCCAGTACTGTACAAATAATTTGGTAAGGTTTCATAACCTTGGTACGTTAGGAACTCACAGCTGTGTTTGTGTCAACATATGGTGGTGTCTTTCTGACTGGTGTCCATTATTGTTGAGTGTTTTGTGTGCCTTCGTGAGAATGTCAGAGCTTGAATTAGAGCAACAAACAAACATCAAATTTCTTGTTAAACTTGGCAAGAGTAGAAGTGAAATCAGGGACATGTTAGTCCAAGTTTATGCACATAATGCCATGAAGAAAATGGCAGTGTGCAAATGGATTAAATGTTTTCTGAGGGGAGAGAGTGCATCACTGATGAAGAGAGGTGAGGGCGTCCAGTAATGAGCAGAACTGACAAAAACATTGCAAAAAATGGTTGAATTATTGGCTAACTGTGAGAAGCAAGCAGATCAAGTAAATATTGATAGAGAACCAGAAAAATCTTAACTGAAAATATTAGCATGAGAAAGGTATGGCTCTTACGTCACAACAATGCACCAGTTCACACAGCCTGCTCTGTGAGGGAGCTTTTAGTCAGCAAACAAATAACTGTATTGGAATACCCTCCTTATACACCTAACATGGCTCCCAAGGACTTTTTTTTTTACTTGAAGATAAAGGAAATATTGAAAGGAAGACATTTTGATGACATTCAGGATATCAAGGGTAGTATAATGACAGCTCTGATGGCCATTCCAGAAGAGAGTTCCAAAATTGCTTTGAAGGGTAGACTAGGCACTGGCATCAGTGCATAGCTTCTCAAGGGGAGAACTTGGAAGGTGATGTAGTGATACTCGGCAATGAGGTATGTAGCACTTTTCCTAGGATAAGCTCACAAATTTAACTGTCATACCTTGTGTGTATGTCTACTAAATGTACATGTATATACAGTAAATGCATGAATGAAATAACATATATCTACAAACATTGTTTGTAACCATAAAGATTGAAAACACTCCAAATGTACATTTTAAAGAAACCAATTAAATAACTATGTTAAATCTGCGAAGGAAATATTAGAAAGGAAAAATCTGTTCTTTTTTTTTTTTGAGATAGAGTCTCAAGTTGTCGCCCTTGGTAGAGTGCTGTAGCATCACAGCTCACAGCAACCCCAGACTCTTAGACTTAAGCGATTCACTTGCCTCAGCCTCTGAAGTAGCTGGGACTACAGGCACCTGCCACGATGCCTGGCTATTTTTTTTTGTTGCAGTTGAGTTGCCACTGTTGCTTTAGCAGGCCCAGGATGGGTTTGAATCTGCTAGCCCTACCCACCGAGCTATGGACATGCCCCAAAAAAGCTATTCTAAAATCATTATTATGAATTATTGCTAGGATATATTGTTTAGGTTCAGAATACTGTAAAAAGGTGGGAAAATAACATAAAGGGGGTGCCAAAAAGTGATACACATTTTAAGAAGTCTTATTGGAAGTAAAATTGATCATTCCCCCAAAGTGTACAAATTGCAGGTAAAATGGATAAGTGTGGCATGTCTAGGTAACTTGACCAGTAATGGTACCTTCAATTCAATTTGAAAGCAATAAATAGATAACATCTCTTAAAATGTGTATACATTTTTTGGCACCCTCTATATATTTGTATTTGCTTTATTTGCACAAAGATGAATATACAAAAACCTAGTAAATGTGGTTTCTTTTTTTTTTTTTTTTGAGACGGAGCCTCAAGCTATCCCCCTGGGGGGAGTGCCATGGCCTCACAGCTCACAGCAACCTCCAACTCCTGGGCTCAAGTGAGTCTCCTGCCTCAGCCTCCCAAGTAGCTGGGACTATAGGTGCCCGCCACAGCACCGGCCATTTTTTGGTTGCTGCCATCATTGTTTGGCGAGCCCGGGCTGGGGATTCGAACCCGCCACCTTAGGTGTATGTGGCTGGCGCCTTAGCCGATGGAGCCACAGGTGCCGAGCTGTAAATGTGGTTTCTTATAAGGTACAGATTTGACAAGGATGGGGTGTTGGAACGTGACCTCTCTTTCTTCCCTCCTTCCTTCTTTCCTTCCTGCCTTCCTTTCTCTTTCTCTTTTTCTCCTTTCCTTCTTTCTTTCTGTCTTTTTTAGAGGCAGAGTTTCACTCTGTCACCCTGGGTAGAGTGCCATCATGTCATAGCTCATAGCAACTCTTAGGCTCAAGAGATCCTCTTAGGCTAAGAGATCCTCTTGCCTTAGCCTCCAGAGTAGCTGGGAGGACAGGCACCTACCACAATACCTGGCTACTTTTTTGGTTTTTGTTTAGTGGAGATGGGGTCTCACTTTGCTCAGGCTAGTCTCAAACTTCTGAGCTCAGGTGATCCATCTGCCTTGGCCTCCCAGAGTGCTAGGATTATAGGTGTGAGCCACTGCACCTGGCCTACTTTGCAATATATTCCTTTTTATGGGTTACTTTGTCATAAATACATAATAAGTGAAAAATGAATAAGCCAACAGAAAATGAGAAAGATCATTACTAGGTAGTTTCCAGGAAAAAGAATACAAAAGGTAAATTAACATGATAATTAACATAAAAAGATTCTCAATCTCACTCAGAATTAAGGAAAGATAGATAACAAAATGTTTTTCATCTAAAAGCCTTGCAAAGATGAAAAAGAGTAATAATAACCCAATTTGGCAGAAATGTGGAGAAATATAGACAGGAGAATCTGTGTTGTAAGATCATCTCTACAATGAATTTACTGCCCTCCCCAAAAGGGCAATATTATAAGAGAATACCTGCCCCCTTCTAAAATAGCCAGAGGCATAATACTCACTGGATATCCAAAATTATAGTTGAGTCCTCTGTTGTTGGCTTGCAGATATCTCTCTTGTTATGAAAAAAGAGGAGAGAAATAATGAGAAGGATGACCCTCTGTAGATCAGTCTGGGATTCTGGCTGTTAGTGAAGACTTTGCTAGATCAGATTCCCATAGTTTCTTGCTAAGGATATCTGTCTAAAACTGGGATTTTATCTCTTTATTCAAAGAATCAAACAATATAATAGAAATGAATATCCTCACACATTGCAGCTTTCTGCAGGCAACAGGACTAGTAACTTCTGAAGAGTTCTCCATCATCAATGCTTCTAGTATTTTCTAGATTATGTTACCATAGACAACAGAATGGCCTATACCAAATTTATTACCAAACCCAGAAACCCAGCCCTCCCTCATAAGTCAATTCCAGCACCTTGTCTTAAGATAGCCTTTCTTAAATGTGCTTAAATTAAATGTGTGTAAGCTAATAAATCATTACTGACAGTAACATTAGGAATATTTAGGCAGATGGAAGCTAGGGAGTCATCATGCTTTGCTATTCTGACCTCATTTGGAATGTGGGCCCAATGACAAATCATCCATGTCGTAAAGGTAAAACTTGATACCCTCTGTTTAGGGTTGCAAAATTTTGCAAATAAAAAACACAGACACAAAATGAGTATGTGCCTAATATTCATTTGGGGCACAACATACTAAGAAGTTATTCATTATTTAATGAAATTCAAATTTAACTGAGAATCTTTATTTTTTTCTGGACACCTGCCTCTGTTGTTCAGGTTAGGAAAAGCTCCAAAACATTATTTCTATTGTTGCTTTACTTTTACAAACAAAGATAATTCTAGAAATTAGCTCTAGAAACTTTCAATGTATGTTTTTTCTAAACAACTTTGTTGAGATATAATTTCTATACCACATAATCCACCTATTTAAAATGTGCAATTTAGTGGTTTTTAGTATACTCCCAGAGTTGCCCAACCTCACTGTCTATTTGCAGGTTTATGTAAATTAGCATTTGTTGTAGAGCATTCTATTACTAAGGCTCCAATTAACTTTCTGCTCTACATGCCAAAGTATCGATATCCTCCTTCCTGCTAGTTATTTTTCTTTTTTTCCCCTTTTCTGTCCTTTCCTTTTAGTTTGTCCAATTCAGTTATTTTCACTTTGTGACTACACTTTTATTAATTTTTAAAATTACTCAAAGTAATATATAAATATATTTGTACTATAAATATTCAAAAACAGAAACATAGAAAAAAGTTTCCTTTCCTGTGCCTTTCTCTCCTCTTTCTTTTCCTAAGGAAACCACTATTAATCGATTGGTATATATCCTTTGGGTCCCTTCTTTTTCAGGGCATTTACATACAAACATATACATATATATACACACGCCTATAGATAGGCTTTTTTTTTTTTTTAACAAATGAGATCCTACTATATGCATTGCTCTGCAAGTTGATTTTTCTTTTCACACTCTGTATTGGGGATTTTTCCATGTCAATACATAACAGGTTTGCCCCATCCATTTGAATCCCTTAATAACTAGTGTTATTTAACACAATGGCCCTCTCTCAATAATTGTTAATAGTGTTTATTTTTGTCTGTGGTGGTGATGATGACGATGATGATATTTGCAGAAGTGTATGGATGGTAGAAAAGAGGGAAGGAAGAAATAAAATAGATGTGACAGTCTTATAAACTCTTCAGGACAGAAGGAGTTAGGGAATCTAATAGAATCTATGCATAACATGTATGCAAAACAGCAAAGCAATAGTTCAAGACAGGATATAAATAAGATTTTAAATAAATTGTAGAGACCCAGAGAATTTAAATCATAAGTGTACATAAAAACTTACATACAAATGTTTATAGTAGCATTATTCATAATAGTCAAAAAGTGAAAACAATCCAAACATCCATCAACTGATGAGTGAATAAACAAATTGTGATATAGCCAATCCCTGGAATAGTATTCAGGGGATTCACTATTAAAAGAAAGGAAATACTGATACATGTTAACAATATGCACGGACCTTGAGAACATTAAGTGGAAGAAGCCAGACACAAAAGGCCACATATGATATGATTCTATTTATATGTCAAGTCTACAATAGGCAAATCCACAGAAACAGAAAGTCATTTAGTGGTTGCCAGGGTCTGAGAGAAGGAAGGAATTGGGAGTGACTACTAATGGTATACAGTTTCTTTTCAGGGTGATAAGATTAAAATGTTAAAATTAACAGAACCCTGAATATACTAAAAAGCACTGAATTGCATGCTTTAAAAGGGATAATTTTGTAGTACATCAATTATATCTCAGACTGCTATTTTTTAAAAAACTGTAGAAACCAAGCACTATAGGAATTTAGGAAGGAGAGATAATTGAATTGGGGGCACTGTTGAAGAAGGCTTCACTGAGAAGTTCTTGTACTAATCCTAAAAGATGAATACAGGTTGATTAGGTAGAGATGTAGGGGGCATATTTCTAGGTAGGAAAAGTAAGTTGGTTTGGCATTGAGACTGGGCAAGTTGCATGATAGTACAATAGACAGGAAAAATCTGAAGCAGGCAGAAAACAAGGTCTTAAAGTCAGACTTTAATATTAAGCTAACAATCTTAACTTGTTTTTTTTGTTGTTGTTGTTTGTTTGTTTGAGACAGAGTCTTGCTCTGTTGCCTGGGCTAGAGTGCTATAGCCTCAGCCTAGCTCACAGAAACTTCAAACTCCTGGGCTCAAGCAATCCTCCTGCTTCAGCCTTTATAGGCACATACCACTAGGCCCAGTTAATTTTTCTATTTTTAGTAGAGCTGGGGTCTTGCTTTAGTAAAGGCTTATCTCTTAACTCCTAACCTCAAGTGATCCTCCTGCCTTGGCCTCCCAGAGAACTAGGATTACAGACATGAGCCATTGCACTTAGATGATAATCTTAAATTTTATCAGGTAGCTGACAGGGAATTCCAGAAAGAGTTTGAGCAGGAGAAAATGTGATAAAACTGGAGTTTCAGAATTTCCAAAAAATTAATAACAAAGGCTAATTAATGTAATGATAGATTTATAGAGGACCAGACTGCAGACTAAAGACCACTTACAAGACTGTTGCAATAGTTAATACTTAAAGTGATGAAAGCCTGAACTAAGAAGGTGGTAGAAAATAGAAACGAGAGGGTAGAAAATAGAAAAGACAGGGTAGATAACAGATGTTGGAACTAGTCAGTATTTACTCCTTTTTAAAATTTATTATTTTTTTTTTATTGTTGGGAATTCATTGAGGGTATAAGAAACCAGGTTACACTGATTGCATTTGTTAGGTAAAGTTCCTCTTATAATTGTGTCTTGCCCCCCAAAAGGTGTGTCACACACCAAGACCTCATCCCCTCTCTCCTTCTCTCTCTGCTCTTCCTTTTCCCCATCCCTCTCTCTCCCTTTCCCCACCACATCCCTCCTTATCTCTCTCTCTCTGCTCTCTCATTCCCTCACCCTCTACCATGTACTAGGTCATTGATTGTCCTCATATTAAAATTGAGTACACTGGATTCATGCTTCTCCATTCTTTTTTTTTTTTTATTTGACAAATATTTACTGGATATCTTTTAGGTGACAGAAACCATTTAGGGCACTTAGAGTATGTCAGTGGAGCCAATTAGAAAATAATTCCTGAATACATTTCATTCAAGAGACAAAAATACAAAAGACATGACAAGTGACTTTTATAGTATAGAAGAAAGTGATACGGAAATATGAAAATGTACAGCAAAGTAAAATGAACTGGGAGGACCAGTCAGGGGAGCAGAGGGCTGGATTGCAGTTTTTAATTTTTATTTTTTTAATGGGGTTGCATTTTTTTTTATTAAGTGATAGCTGTGCACATTAATGCAATCATGGGGTACAATGTGGTGTTTTCATATACAATTTGTATTATTTTCATCAAACTGGTTAACATAGTCTTTATGTCATTTTCTTATTGTGTTAAGACATTTATATTCTACTCTTAGAAAGATTCACTTGTACCCTTGTAAGATAAACCATAGAAGTGATCCC